GACCTAAATTGTGCCGATGTGTCTAAACTCAAAAACTCAAACTCATTCTCCCAGGTAGCTGGGTCTATGCTGAACGCCTTCAGAGAAGCTTTGAGGGTGTCCCTCAAGAGTTTTCTTTGACCACCTTGCGAGCGCTTTCCTTCGCTTAGTTGGCCATACAAGAGTCGTTTAGGGATGCGGCGTTCTTCCATTCTGCAGACATGTCCTGCCCATCACAGCTGAGACTGCATCTGGATTGTGTGGATGCTTTGCAGACCCGCTCTTCGAAGGACTTCAGTATCTGGTATTTTTTCTTTCCATTTGACATTCAGTATTTTTCTTAGACATGTCATGTGGAAGTGGATTTTTTTTGTGTGCATGTTTTATGTATACTGTCCACATTTCTGAGGCATAGAGAATTGTAGGGAGGATGACAGCTCGATAGATCCCTAGCTTTGTATTTGTGGTGATACCTCGTCTGTTCCAGACATTTTTAGACAGTCTGCCATAGGATGCACTGGCCTTGGCGATACGCAGGTCGATTTCTTTATCGATCTTTCCGTTTCTGGAGAGTGTGCTGCCAAGATATGTGAGACTGTCCACTGCGTTTATATCATGTCCATTTATCTTGATGCTTGGATCCGAGTAGGCTTTCCCTGGAGCAGGCAAATACAAGACTTCAGTCTTATTTGTGTTAATGGTAAGGCCAAAGTCTGAATATGCTCTTGAGAAGTCACTGGCGATGCTCTGCAGATCATTTTCAAAGCAGGCATTTAAGGCACAGTCGTCTGCAAATAGCAAGTCCCTGCTAACTGCTAATTTTTGTTTTTGATTTTGCTTTGAGCCGCCTCGGGTTGAATAGGCCACCATCAAATCTGTATGTTATAATTATCCCATTGTTTTCTCTTTTTGTGAATGCATCTGTCTGCATAGCAGAGAACATGATACTGAACAGTGTAGGTGCTAGGACACAGCCCGTTTTACCCCGTTTGATACTTTGAAGGGCTCTGATGGTTCTCCACTTTCCTGGACACGAGCCTTCATGCCATCATGAAATTCTCTCACCATGGTTATGAAATTTTGTGGACAACCATACTTTGATATAATCTTCCAGTCTTTCTCTGCTAACAGTGTTTAAAGCTTTTGTTAGGTTAACATATATTGAGAAGAGGTCAGCATGTTGTTCTTGGCATTTTTCCTGGAGCTGCCTTGCCGCAAAGATCATGTCAATGGTTACACGCTCTTTTCTGAAGCCACACTGGCTTTCTGGTTGTAGACCATGTTCTAGGTGTTGCATGAGCTGATTCAGTAGGATGCGTGCGAGGATTTTCCCAGCAATAGAGAGAAGAGATATTCCTCTGTGGTTGTCGCAGATTTTGCGGCTTCCTTTTCGCTTGTATAGAACTATAGATAGACAATTGTGGCATCTTTAAAGTCTTGTGGTATTGACTCTTGTTCCCACATAATTAAGAACAGCTCATGAAGTCTTCAGATAGTATATGTGATAGCAATGATATTGATCTTTGTATTAACTTGCATGAATAAAATATAAAATGTACTTACAACTTTGAACATTGATAGTTAATAATAAATATTTGTGTCCATTTGAACAGGTGAGGTGGGCTGCTCCTATTGTGGTGGTTTGGGTCATAGAATAGCAGACTGTCCTAAACTACAGGCCATGCAAACCAAACAAGCCCAAGGAATAGGTCGAAAAGACTATCTGGCCCACAACAGTGCTGATTGGTAGAGTTAGAAGGATGTTAAATTGTTCTAATTAATGTTGAAATATAAAATTACTTGTACTTTTTTTTTTATTTGTCTGTTGTTTTTTTTACCCGTGAGGTTCTTTTTGAAGTTGTGGAGTCTTAGGAATTTATGTATGGAGGCCACTTCAACTATTTCAGTATTTTCAAAACTATGAAATTGGCTGTTTCATTACAAAATGATTTACTGGTTACAATGTTCTCCATGTCAAAGAGATTTTTTTTAAATACTATAGAAGATTTCTATATTAAAATTTTAAAAATATTAATGATGCTGTCAAACTTGACCATAAACTGTGTGTGCGTGTTTAATTTATATCCAGCTAATCTTATTTTTTCAAAGTACTAGACAAGTGCTGCACCGGGTAATAATTAATATGTTTATCCGTCAATTAAATTGTGTCCTCTTTATTTGGACATGTATAGAAATGAATCAATTAAAGTAGGGGTGGAAATGCAGCACACCAATATATGTTGAGATCAGTTGCGTCAAATTAATAATTTAAAGAACGTCGTTTCATCTTCAAAGTAAAAGCTTTCTAGCAACAAGGTCGATTTAAAAAGGTTCTTTTGAATAAAACATTGTAATGCCTCTTCACCAATGCCATTCTATTCTTTACCTTCTTTTTACGGCACAACGGACCAATTTCTTCCGACTATCGTACTATTGACTTTTTTTGTGTGTGTGGACAGCACATGCCTGCAACAAGACGTCTAGCTAAACACAATGATCTTAGGACAAGCCCATTACACATTTCCGTGATCTACTACAACTTTTCTCGAACTGTGGGGAGCACCCCATGGTTGGGGGGAGGGGGGGGGGGCTTGACCAATGGATTCAAAATTATTTAACAAGGGTAAAATTAAACATTAAAAATATTTTCATTGTAGTTATCAATCAACGTTTGAATATTAACCCAGTAAGATGAAATAATTATCAATTTTTCAAAAGTTGACCTATTGTAAGTTTAAGAGTACGTATCATATTCTAATTAGGAACTTTTAAAAATGTCTAATGTTTTTGAGGAGGCGTTAACAAAAATATCGATTCAAAACTTTTTGAAGACATTTTAAAACTTGTCCGCTTACCTGATTCTTCTCTAAGGGTCAGAAAAGGTCAAATTTCTTTTATGTGTTTAACATCGATAAGTTGGCGCGACCTTTGTGTAACAAAAACCAAAAAGCTCGTGGCAAGGTTTCTCATGGACACGAAGATTGTCATAATTTGTCTTAAGACATACGTGCGCTATATGTACTTCGAACATCTATCGCATAATAATATTGCCCAAGGATGCCTCCTTCTTTATTAGACTTAATTTTATTTTTTACTAGGATGACTAGTGCGCTCCAAAAGAAAATACTTCTTTATCGCAACGTCCCACTCCTGTATACCGGCACTCTACAGTAGACACGGGCTCTTCTTACCAGGGGAAGAAAAATGCGTTGTAGACACCAGAGAAAGAATTGATAAAGCTCAGAGCGCAGGAAAACGCTTGATGGAACTAACAGCGCTTCCCCAGTTTACCTTGCTGGATGGAGAGGGCACCTGATTCTATTACTATCTCCAGAATTAACTTTTTCGGTTAGACAAAACACTCTACAATGATCTACAAAGCACTATTTCTGTAAAAGACTTAACGTGTAGCGGGACACAAAGGTCAAAGTTTGAGAAACACTGCTCAATTGCCTTAAATCAGGGGTTCTCAGCCTGTGGGTCGCGAATCCTTTGGGGATCGATTGACCATTTGCCAGGGGTCGCCTAAGACCATCGAAAATATGGTTTGTTATTGTCTACCCTACAATTCTGTATTTGTGTATAGGGAGGGGGCCGCGGCAGAGTGGGGGATTGTAAAAAGGGGTCGCCGAGCTTAAAAGGTTGAGAACCGCTGCCTTAGATGAAGTCGGATGTCTCTCACACTTCTGGTACGGCCATTCCCACTCTTTCTTAATTTAATAAGAACTGAAATCTTCTTACTAGGAGAAATAGTACGAGCTAGACTGGAGAATAAGTGTCTGAAGCTCCGAAATGCTGAAAAGCGATTGGAGTCCCACCCCATACTCCACAGTGGGGGTTTTAAGATGGTAGTCGACAGCATAGTTGTATATGGTACCGTTTCCGTTTAATAGTCTAACAAAGGAATCATAACTATTGAAGAAGTGTCATAAACAAAACAACTTTATAATAGAATTGACACTCATTTTACATTTGTGTAAAAATCAATGAAATTAGGTAATCAGCTCACTGTATTGGTTCAACAAAAAGAACAAACTAACGAAAGCGTTTATTGGGAAATGTTTGGGAAAAGTTGATTTGGGGGGGGGGGGGGGGGGGAATGACACCATGAGCTAAACGAACCGGATGTCACCGACCCTAGTGACGCCACTGGTTGAGATACATCAATGTTTGATTACAGTGCTAAATACATTGATGACATTTTATTGGGAGATTGATTGTGACTTTTGTTACTCAATCAAGATTTTCATGTTTGCCATGGAAATAACGAAAATACAAATTGGATGACAGGGCAATGCATTGCTTTGTGTGCACATGAAAACTTGCCAACAAAACTGTCTGTGCTTAAGATGTGCATATGCTATTTCCCATTGCTGGTACAACTGAAAATGATTTCTAGTACGGTACCAGTAAATGACTAAAAAGTACAAGGCTCGTAGGATGACTGGTTGGTCCTTACAGTTGAGTTTCCTGTACCAGTATATAAGAGACTCTCGTCAGTATCCACAGTTTAATAACATTATCTACAAATGTGAACATTACATATTTTTCATTATTAGCATTTGTTGTTTGGTCCATTGTATGTGAATTGAATTCCTTTTTCATAGTAATATCTTCGTACAAAAGTAAGGTTTACTTCTTTTGTAAAATGTTTTACCATATAATTAATACAAGGTTTTGCAAAATGACAATACTTAGTCATAATTGTTAATGGTGATTCAATGAAGTTTTGTTTTTTAGTTTTTAGCACATGGGCACACTTTAGGCCATGTCGTGCCCGTAATTCAATGAAACATTAACTATGGTTCCAGTTAGTGTCAATGGTAACATACATATTAACTAGCAATACATTTTTTAATGTGGGTATCTGCAAAACAATGACCTACCTCAGACTTAATATTGAAATTTCTTTATAGTGGTGAAATGTACCAGCACATTCAGTTATACGAATAGACAGACCCCTTTCCAAATCAGGATAGTCAACATCATACTAAATGAACATTTCAAGATGAAAGGCAAACAGACTTAGCGAATGGTTTTATTTATCATCAATTTCAGATCAACAAGAAACCAAAGGGTACAATGTTAATGACCAAATAAATATATTTAAATACATAAAACCTTTCCACAACTTTCAGATTCTTAGAAGATTTGTAACATGCAATGACCACAATATAATTTGTAAATAAAAAAAGCCATGCAAATTCTTTAATTTACAGTTACTTTATGTCCTGGAATGTAATTTATACCTTTATATCTATTTTATAAAAACAAAAGATGACAGTTATCCTGGTGCACTGACTTAAAATAAAATATAACACTAACTTACAAAAGATCAAAATTTTCCTGCCAATACACAATTGCTGTTACTAAGGTTATAATGAGTCCACTAAGACAAAAATATGTGCACTCATTTGAACAACACAAATGGAAAGCAAAATTTATCACAGTTTATAATTTGGATAACTTGAATTATGGCATGGCTAAAAATCTTTTGAACAATGCAAGTTTCTTTTTTTCCCCCAAATAAATCCACACTAGCAATCCTAGTTTCACTATGCATAATCTTTTGTTTGTTTTTTCCACACTAGAAGTTTGGCATTCATGTTTAAAAAATGAATAAGTGAGACAATAAAAGAAAGCAGTGACAAACTAATATGTACACAACAAATAGAATTGGAAATGAAATTGAGTACACCATTAAGGCAGATAGATATAAACTGTAGTGCTTTACAAACTTCTCTTACATTGAAGAGAATAACAAAAGCTCTAGTATTAGATCAATTTTTTTGTTTGTAAAACATTCATAGTAAAGTAGTTGGTTGTTGTTTTTTTTTAGTTAATAGAAAATAATTTTTTATATTAATAACTAAATGTATGGAGAAACAAAAATAATTTGTCACAAAAAAAAAAATGGTTTCATCATAAAATGGATAAATCAAAATCATTTTGACAGGAGTGTAAGCTGAGAAGAAACTTTATGCTGAAATACAAGGATTATACAATGCACAAAAGAAAATAATAAACAACTGAGTATTTTGTACTACTTCAATGCAGTATGTAACAAATTCTTCTGGAAATTGTTTCACGAAAGAAAGCATCCTACAGGCCTAAGTATACATGTTTGGTATAATTATTCCAACACTGTACCAAATCTACTTTAGTATTTGTTGTTTTTATTCTGCATCAATTATTCTTTTAGTTTTCTATTTAGTTACCAACCACTACCACAAGTAAATGCTGCAGTGTAAGAACTGCTAAGGACATCTTTTTGGGATTTCAGATAAACATACCATATTAGTTACTATTATTATGATGAGCCGAGGAAGAAAAATAAAGCAGGAGGAAAATAAGCACATTGGAAAGAAACTCATATATTGCAAATATTTAGTAATAGTGAACCGGTGGAAAAGATAATTTAATTGTCAATAGCAATTAGCACATTTTTAGTTTAAATCTGAGTACACACACATATATATATATATATATTGAAAATGTCATTTATGTGCCCTGGGCAACAGAATGTACAATAACAGATTTTATGAACTAAGAAAAGAATATAAAAAAAGTAACAAAGATTTAGAAAAAAAAAAAAAGAAAAAAAAAACTAAAATGATAAAATAACACTCACTAAAAACTAACTGATTGAACAAAACTTCAATAATTTACTTGGTAAACAAATAAGTAAAAAAAAAATATTAAAAATTAAACAAGAACATAGAGGAAAAAACATGACAAAACTTCATCACAGCCAATGCATACATTTTCTTACAATTTACCTTTAAGAAAATAGAGATTAAAAAATTTACAACTGCCTCTTGAGAAACAAATGACTTCATACTTGATCTGAACTTCAAAGCTTTCAAATATTTCTTACAAAATCTCACTTGAAGATTTTGCCCTTGCTGGTCAAGGTGCCTCAGCAGAGAAAAGGCAAGGACCATTAAACAAGTGTAGGCCTTATTTGATCACATCCTTGTGAAAAGCCTTGGTCTTTAGGACAACACAGGAGTTGTCTATAGCAACAATTAGGTTTCAGCAACAAATGCAAAGTCCTAAAGTCATGCATCCTTTTGGCAGTAAAGTTCTTTCAGAGCTTTTAATTCCTCAATTAATGTTTTATTTTGATTCTCCAGAACTGCAACTCTGTTTTCCAGACATTTTACATACTCTTTTTTTTTCCGTCGACATTCTCTTGCTGCTTCTCTGAGTAAAAAAAATGTCAATGCATAATTTACAAAAAAGGGCATTCAGAGTTTTAATTTAAAAAGTTAAATGTATGCATTTTACTGCACCATGAATCAAGAGTTATTTAATTAGAGAAAAATCATTTCTGGGTTTTAAAACTGTTTTAAGAGATGTACACAGCTTTTTGTGTGATGTTTGTTTTTTCGCTAACAGGAATAGAACAGGGGTGAGAAGGAGTGTAGAGGGGTTAAAGTACAAGGACTAAAAATCAAATGATTGATTATTTACAAGAAAATATACAAGTTACAAAAAACAGCAACTAAGAAATAGTACCAGCTGGGGCTATTTTTTGTCTTACTGTCTCTCAATTGTGGAAATTTATTTTTTTTCTCAGGAAATCCCACATTCAAATCCGAGACCCTGCAGATAGGAAGCAAAGCACTTTTCCACTCAGCCTACACAAGCCCAATCTCAAATTGTATATATACACACAAATAATTGTGTACCAGTACCATAAATGAGGTATCATTCTTAAATACCTATTTTTTAATAAACGAAGTTCCCTTTTACGTGAACCTTCTTCTGACATATGCTGCGGGGATGAAATAGGACTACCAGTAACACCAGTCATAACAACACCTTGTGCTAAGGAACCAGGTATCTGATATGCCTGAACATTTGTACCTCCAACTGAAAATAAAGGAAAATATTTAAATCCATGTTATTGATATACCTGTATGTATATATATATATATATATATATATATATATATATATATATATATATATATATATATATATATATATATATATATATATATATATATATATATATCAATCAGAATTGCTGATAAGAATAATTAATTTAAGTAAAAGTAATTATTAAAAATATTGCTTTTTTTTTTTTTTAATATTGCTTTTTTTTCTAATTACCTGGTATATAAAATTGGCCATCTGGTCCTTGTGCATACTGTACAATAGTTGTTCCACCTGTAGAGTTTGAAGCAGAAGTGGGACTTGCATTAGTCATTGTTAATGTTTGTAAACCTTGAGTAGCAGGTGTAGCATCACCATGTGCAGTTAGCTGTAATGTGCCACTTTGAACATCTGTTATGTAAAGTGTGTTGAGTAAAAAAATTGAAACCTTGCTGTGTTTTGACAATGTTTAATTGGGACAAGTAAGAGAACCAGCTGTAAAAAGCTCAAGTGGGTGGAGAGCTTGTAAAAATGTCAAGCTTTTTACATTCAAATGATGGGCACATATACTGCTGTTAAATCCACACCTGATTTTTACTTAGTAACTATTTAACATTGAAAGTAATAATAAAATGATCAAGTGCTTGCTATGTTAAAAATCTTTTACAAAAACCACTTAAAAGTCAACAATTGTTAACATCTAATTACATTCTTTTCCTTCCTTTAACAATCAACAACACTAAAGTAGGTATTCGTACATTTTACAATAATAAAAGTGTTAACTAGGAAATTTCCACAGAAGCATTAAAGAAGCAAGTGTGGAAATTACAACAAACATCTTTACAATTCAGTCAGGTAAGCTGTTATAGAACTGGGCAACCTCAAGGAACAAGCCTTCATAAAAATTCTATCTCCAAAATGCTCAGTTTGGCATACAATGGATATACAAAGCTAAAATTAATATTTCTTAGTACAATGCTATGTATTCACTTCTTCAGACAATGTACTTTAAGAAATCATGAATATAAAAAGATCCATTTTGACAGAAGTGTTGATATTTATTAACATGCTTGGGGAAAATGGGACAGGGGAGGCGGAGGAGAGTCCAGCATAAAATTATGTCTTAGCTTAAGCATTTGAACACAAAAGTTGTTAAGTTTCAACTCAGGACAGTTTAACAAATGAGAGCTTTGAACCAGATGTAATAAAATACATGTGTCATTTAATATTATTATCAACATAAGACCAAGTCAAAAACTTCTTTAACAGCTCCTTGTCTCATGCCTAGTTTACAACAACAAAAATTTTTTGAAGCTTTTTTTTAAATACGCTACCATACATGGTGGATAACCACATATTTTTTTTAGCACAAATAAAGTTTGAACAAAAGTTCATTTAACATTATAAGTGTCATTAAACACAGAAGCACAATAATGAAACTTTTATAATCACGAAATAAGCCATTGAAATTCAATTTTAAGCAAGTCATTTGTTAGAAAATTTAAGAGAAACTATATGTAGAAGCTATTAGTAGCACATTAGATTTTAAAAGTGACCCTTAACTACCCACTGAATGTAAGTTTTACAGATATTTCTTTGTACATAGACATTGAATGCTCAAGTGGACAATATATTTGTTAACTATGCTATGCAATATACAAGTCTTTTAACAAGTAATACAAAGGTTTTTCTTTTAAGACAATTCCTCCTTTATAAAGCTGATAACTATTTGTAAGACCAATTGCTCTATTCTTTTAATATGTAATGAATGTTAAAAGAAAAAAAAAAGGAATATTTTTTTACCCCAACCCTGAATAAAATCCTGGTCAAAAGCAATTATAAATCTACTCAAGAGTATATAAAATTTTACTTTGGTAATACAGATACAGCCATGGCAATATTAAAAGCCAGTAGTCTAAATAAAATTCTGGATCTAAATATTAGTATAGAAGATTCTAGTTTGGTGATAGGCCTATAAATCTTAACTTAGAACATGGTGCGCAAATTGTACAATTTATTTATTTTAAAAAATAATTTCAAAGCATAGCCTGAAATTTAATTGACCTTTGAAATAATCATTTGCTTAAGCAGATTAGTTCACAGATCTGTCCACCTACTTGAGCTTCAATGGATGGATCAAGGATTAAGTGAATACAGAGTGTAAGTAAAAATACTTACATTCTTGACCATCTTGACTTTGACTGCTGTTTGAATCATCTTCCATTTTATTAACAGGAGAGGAAAGATCATTCAGAATTTTCCTAGAGAATGAAAAAAATTAATGGAGAATGTTAAAAAAATGCACAGAATTTTATTTTGAAAATTTAAAGAAATTTTGATGCAAACTATTTTCAAGTGGTTTGTTTTTGTTTCTGTGAACTCCTAGTAAACTAATTAGTACTGAGTACATCAAATAAGCAAGGTAGTCATAAAACTGATTAGCATTACTAATTATTAAATTTTAAAAAAAGTATATTAACAGCTACATTCATATGTGAGAACAAAATTTATAAAACTACTTGTAAGTGGACTAAAACAAAATTACCTATAAGATGGTCTTCTTGCTAGGATTTCCCTTCTCTTTTTGGCATCAGAATCATCAGATGACAAATCGTCATCAACAGTTGCAACCTGTAATTTAAATAAACATTTTTTAGTAAAAATGTATAATATTATTGAAAATATTTTCAATTAAGCAAAAAAATAACAACAAAATCTGAGACAATCTGATGCCAAAAAGGATATTTCAACAATCTGTAAGGTATGTGTTTACTTTTTTTTTCTTCAGATATGAAACATTTAACTGACAATTTATAGTCAAATTCCTAGCTTTGAAGCCTTGGTACACTTATTGCATGTATCAAATTAAAGTTAATAAGCATGCAATTGTATTTACTGAAAAATACCCCTTCAATTTTTTTATTTTTCAATCTATTCCTAACCTCCATAACAGGTATGATAGAAATAGACAATTTACCCTAACAACTTGGATTGTCTGATAATTGCCTGCGCTGTGAATGACAGTTGGGTTTGCCTGAATGACAGGCTGAACCTGTATGGCTTGGTTAGGAATGCTCACATGGACCACTGAAATGCCCTGGGTGCCATTTTCAATGTCAGCTGTTCCAGGACCATTTCCTGCTGACATGTCTGAGAAAAAGAAAAGAGGATGATCAGAATGAGAATGCTTACTTTTTTTTAAAAATACTTTTATGTGTCCCTTCTCACTGCACAATTCACAGACTTCTATTAATACAGAGATGCAGACCATAAATTGTCAGTCAATTATTTCATTTACCCAGGGTAAGTTTAAAATTTTTATCTAACGACTTGTCTAGCCAGCAGACTTTTACTTGACAAAGTTTATTTTTTGCCAGCTAATTCAGTTACTTTTACATTTCACCTGCCCTCAGTCCATATCTTTACCCTTTAATTTGAATACACAGTTTAGAACATGGCTGTTTAGAATTGAATACACATCAACACAAAACTATGAAAATAAATAATATGTAACTTTTATTCGACAAGCCTTACTTTAGAAAATGTCTTAAAGGCATCAAAATTCAACAAGCAACACACACACAAAAATAAAACTGAAAACTTTTTTTAAAAATGGTAAAATACAAGTAATGCTATTAAAACAGTGTTTCCCAATACATGTTCCAAGAGGTGTGAATAGGTGTTTCACAAACTACTGGAATAATTAACAAGTAGGCAACA